ATACTGAAAGCATACAAGTTAATGCAGTAGAAGAGACAAAACTTTTAATGATAATTAATGTTCCCATCTGCACTAAAGTCATATATTCAGTTAGAAGAAACATTGAAAGCCACGTTATTTGTATGTTTTTCTTTGAAAAGAGACAACCCTAAATAATCACAAATATATTACATAATAAGGATTTTCCACAGTGCTCTAATGGGAATTCATATAAATCCAGTGAAACTAATGCTTTGTAGTAGTTTCTAATATAATTAAACTGCTGTGACTTAGCTAGCACACCACAGAATAGCACCAGCTTTACGATCAGGGCCAAAAACAACATTCTGTGGCTCCTAAGGTTGCAGGGAAATTTGTCTCATGTTTGGAAGTAAACTGGAGCAGAGTCTCACAAATTCCAGCAGGGAAACCCAAGAAATGTGGAGCTTTTCCTTTCACAAGATGCCTCCACCCATCTCCAGCATCCACAGGGCAGTACGAGGCACTCGGAGGGCCTGCTGGCAGGTTGGGAGGGATAGGCAGCCTACCAGGTGGTCCTGCAGGCCAGTACTGCAGGCAGTGCTGCAAAACTCAGTCCAGGAGTCAAGTGGGGCTGAAATGACGTGGGCCAGTGCTTTGCTCCACGTGTCCTGGAAAATTGCCGGAAGTCTGATGGCTCGTGTCCTTACACCTAGGGTACAATTTGCTGTCTCATCAGATAACTGGCTCATCATGCTGTACATAGCAAGTCATCCACCTATCAAACTCCCACATTTCAAAACAATTTTACCTAAAGTGTGAATATTAAAAAATCTACAAAATTATTATGCCACTATGACAGAATAAGTGCAAACTGTAAGAATTTGATATCTCTTGAAATGTAGGCAGAGACCACAATAACAAAGGAAAATGATTTTAATTGTAATTGTAATCAGTAGCTGGACATGGTGGCACACATATATAATCCCAGCTCTCTGGAGGCTGAGGCTCCCAGCAAGCAAGTTCTAGGCCAGTCTGGGTGACATAGTGAATTCAAGACCAGACTAAACTGTGTAGCAAGACCTTGTCTCAGTAAACCAAGTAACAGTAATGATGGTGGTAATGAATCGTACTCACTATACCCCGTGATATGGCTTATATCTAGATGTCCCCCCAAAGCTTTATTCAGTCATAGGTGGGGCTTTTTGGTGATGGCTGGATCTAGAGTGTGTGATGCTGGGATCAAAAATGTACTTCTGGGATTGATTCATGGTGCAGTGCTAGGATTAGGGCTGTCCTACCCTGGATGTGAGTGCTACCTGCCCTAGGGCTGAGTAGCCTGCATAAAACATAAGGGCCAGAAAAGAGTCACTGCTTATTGCTTGTTGCTTGCTGCCTTCTGCCTGCCATGCCACCCTGCCTTACAGCCAGTCAACTATGGACTGAAGCCTCCACAAACTGAGTCACATAAACCTCTCATCCTTTAACTTTGGGTATTGAGTAATTTGTCTCAGCAATGAGAAAAGTAGGACACCCCAATTCAGTAGTTTCTCCAGTTTGTTCAATCCTATTTAAAATTATAATCCTCATTCTCTTCCTTGGGTGCTGTCTAATCCCAGCTCTCTTTTCCCTCTCATCCTGCCATGGATGGACAGATCTGGTTGCTTTACTCTTCTCCTCCCCTTACTAGAATATTCACTAAGGGGGGAGGGTCTTGCTGAGTTGTGATATTGGAGACCTTCAAAGTGTCCTTGACTATGCAGAAAAAACAAAGTGAAGAGTTTGTATGCACATATTAAAATAATTTTAAGGGTATAATATGAAGTCAGAGGGAAAGACTTAGCTTGCTTAAATCTCCATTTGAATCATTCATTTTACTTGTTCTAAATAAGAGCAGGAAAATAAATATTTAACAAATACATATTTATATATTTAATATATCAATTATGTTATATATTATATTATATGGCTACATATTATACTAATGCATTAATTTTATATATTAATGTATTAATATATTTCATATAAATAGTTAATATAATTGATATTAATATAATTGATTTTAATATATTTATAAATATGACGTTAATGTGTATATTAATATATTATGCGTGTGAATTTTATATATTTATATTTGCCTATTTAATATATAATGTTAATATTTTAATATATACTGTTTACTTATTTAAGTAAATATATATAAATATGTATATATGTATATGAATTTTGAAGAAGCAGCTGCATATTATATTCCTTTAAAAGGTATAGTCTGCCCCCAAAAAGAGCTATTAGTCAAATATTTAACCTGAATTTTACCTGTTCAGTTTTAGTTTAGATGCACATGTACCTCCACCTTTCCCTACTTTATGTAGGAAAAACTTATTTTATATACTTTTTAGGCACTAGAGTTGAAGGAGAAATATTTTTGCTAAAGTTGCAGTAACTTAGTGAGTGTGTTGTGCTCTGCAAAAGTGTGTGGTGTTTTACTGTGTGTTTCTAGGAAAGAAGAGGCCAGTGTGATCTCCAGATCTGCCTCTTTTACGTGCCGCTTTGTTGCAGAACAGTTTTCTGTTCCACGGTGCATGAGAGTAGCAGTGACGTCCGCCACCAGCGTTTAGTACTGAGTGCCTTCTGCATGACCACGATTGGCAGCCTCGAGGACACAGATCAAATCATACTTCCCAGGTCCAGCCGTAATTATCAATATTTAAACTAAAAGTCTGGTTTCCTTACTCTAATACTGTGTATTAAATTTTACACAGGTCTAGTTAAAATGAGGAAAAGCAGTTTGCCTTTTGTTTCTGGAACATAAATGCTGCACTAGATCACTAACAAATACTAGGAGGTTAGTGTACACTAGATAAAATTGCATGGCTTTCTGAAACAGAATAAGAGATTAATAATCATCTTAAATCTAATTCATACTCATGTTTTGTCAGAAGTTTAAAATGTTGGCATTTGTAGGTAAGCAGCATTGCAGATAAGCACATTTAAAGTCGGATGTTAGGAAAGAAATCTTCCGTCTCAGTTGTTATCTGCAAGGGCTACAGAGTAAACACGCCAGTGTTTGCACCCGTCTGTACGAGGTCCCGGATGTTTGGTGCACACTTACAGGAGCGCTTACTTCTCCGGTGGAGTACCAGTGTGTGGACGAAGGTGCAGCCACTCGAGTGCAGACTGTCTGGCATACACTCGACTTGGGCAAATGTCTGCTCAGAGCTGAACTGTAGAGTCAAGCCGCCCATCATCAGCATATTTCTAGTGCTCTGTGGTAAAAAGTCAAAATCCTCTCCTGTTATTTTAAAATACACAACTTGTGGTTCTTAACTGCAGTCACCCTACTGCGCAGTCGAACACCAGACTTGCTCCTCGGCTCTGTCCAGAACCTGCCTTTTGGTCAGCCGGCCTCGCCGCCTCCTCTCGGTGGCCTCCTGCCACCACTGTTCTCTGGACTCGGACTTCACACACAAGTCAGATCGTGCAAGATCCGCACCTTGCCTGGCTTATTTGGCTTAATGTCCCCAGGCTGCCATCACGAATGATGGGCTCACGTCTTTCTTCTGCCTGAGTGGTGCTCTGTCCACAGTGTGTGTGACCGTACCTCCCTTACCATCCTCCGCTGACCGGAATGCAGGCTAACCCCGCACCTGGGCTTCCATGACTAGTGCCATAGTGTACGTGGATGTGGGTGTCTCTCCCACAGATTCACCCCCGAAGAGTGAGATTGCTGGATTGCAGTTTTAGTTTTTTAAGGCCCCTTCCTACCGTGCTCCGTAATGACTGTACTAATCTATACTCTTACCTTGAGTCTTACTCAAGAGTCCCGGTGTTTGTACATGTCGTATCCAGCTGAGGGACGTAGCCTGTCGTTGTGGAACAGTCCTAATGTAACTGCTGTGTGTGGCATTCAGTCTGTGGCCTTGATGTGGTTACAGAGAACCTGAGCCCAAACTTCCCATGGTCCTCTTTCCTGCAGTGCCAGGATCCCGGGCTGTCGTGTGCAGTGCAGCAGACTGGGAAGTTTTCAATCCCATGATTTTCATAATTTGTATCAGACCAATCTCTGCAAACCTGATGTTTTTTCTCTTCTTCAGTCTCATATTTATATTTTTATCTTCGTCGCCCCATAGTTACATTTTGGCTGCCGGTACAGTGAGTGAGTGGTGTGTTGCCACCTATAGACGGGAAAGCAGACGCGTTTGTAACAGAAAACCATAACCTAAAACGAGCTTTTATCCCAACCGCTACAATCACCATCTTCAAGCTTCTACCCAAATATTAACCTGCTCAGGATGAGGTCGCCCTTTCAGATGCCGGCCCTAACCTACGCCGTTCCCTGTGCCTGTCGTGCCGCTGGTCACCGCGGCAGCGTGTTGGCAGACACCGGTCTCGGGAAAGTTCTCTGCCTCCGCACAGCCGGTGAAGCGCCAGCCCCTGCCCA